GGTTGGTTGGTTGGTTGGTTGGTTGGTTGGTTGGTTGGTTGGTTGGTTGGTTGGTTGGTTGGTTGGTTGGTTGGTTGGTTTTTTCTGCTCTGCATCACAACATGATAGAACTGCAACTGACTCTGCCTTTGACTTTGCCTACCATTGCAGCGACCTTGTACGGCTGGATCGTCATCTTTGTTCTGCCCATAAACAGCGCCCTCAACCCCATCCTCTACACCCTCAGCACCACGTCATTCAGCCAGTGGTTCCACAAACACATTAAGCGACGGAAGGGCAAGTCTAGCAACGGTAGCGTCGGCTCCAAGAATGAATTTTCGTGCTCAAGAGGTATGCTGGCGAGAGGTGCATGATATTAATTTGGTTTTTTTTTAGATGTGGAGGGTGCCAGCGTGTTTGATAAAACTTTATGCACCATGACGTGGTTTTGGCCCAGCCAAGCGGTGGCCTCCTGTTGTGATCTCCACATCTTAAAAAGGTCAAATGGAACTTATAAGTAAACTGCATGAAGGCGTTTACATTGGCCAAAAAATTAATTTAGTCGAAAGAAAGCAAATGATTCGTAAGAATGCAGAAGGCCGACACATATCCAGCTTTTACCACCCATTTTGTTTGCAACTACGCCACTGCACTGTGCTCCTGTCTTTTTGCTCCTCTTTATGTAGTTCTTTGTGTGTGTGTCCTAATTCTAGCCCAGTCGCTTAGCCTTCCAAAAATAATTCTTTGGTGCCTGGGGCTCGTCTACTGTAATACCCAGTACAGACAAAAAGGCACCTCTCTCCTCATCTGTCAAACCAGCCGCATTTCTGAGAAAAAATGTAAGAGCGCTCCGAACGGAGTATTGCACTATTGAGGGCAGCTAACAGAAATAACCCTTTGCTTTTACGCGTCATGGTACAATTCTCATGATTGACAAAATGTGAATTCCTCTTGACTTTTGACCAGTCTTACCCACAGTGATAGCAAATTCATATGGACACATGTAGTGAATTCGCCGAGGAAAACAATTATCACTCCTCTCTTCTGCTGAATCTTGGAAACCAGTTTTTAGTGGGACATGGGCAAAAGCTTTCGAGGTTGTATGTGAATCGTCAGTATAGGTTAGCGTGCATGAACTATGCGCGTGTGCGAGCATGGCAAATAGATAACAGTCGTCTGATGGCAAAGCTGACAGTGAAATGGCTTGTTGCAGATGCACTCGATAGCTTGTGCTTGGCTTATGGTTTTAGGGGACAAATGCAACTGTCCATCTTTCGTTTGTATTCGTACGGCTAAAGTTCCACCAACTGCAGCTTTTGTCACTGGATATTGTTCTGACTATGTCATCATCTACAAAACTAGTCCAACGTTTGCCTCATTGAAGTGACTGACCCTGAAGTGAAATTGTTTTCCAGTCTTCAAGGCACAAACACGGCTAGCGATCTCGAGATTCAGCATGGGACCCCAGGTCGTTTGGGCCGGGCCCCACGCGGCTGCCGCCTTACTCGCCTTGCCCTTAAGCCGGCCCCCTGTGGAAGGTAAAAGGCTTCTGATCAGCCTAACTTGTTGGTAGTCGAAAAACCACCCGCTTGTGAACCCTCTTCCCATTTTCCCATTGTCAAGTCCGGCCGTGATAATACACTCAGCGTGTCGTGGTTGAGCTTTGTATGTCTTCTTGCATCTGTATTTCATTTGAAGTTCTCTGTCGTCAGGAATTTTTTTTTTCAAGTGAATAGTTTCATTCGTGTGTCTCCACTGATTTCATTCAGGAAGGATCGGTTCTGCCACGGACGAACCCACCGAGTACTCATCGGTTCCCAAGCGGTCTTACGACAGCGATTCCTCCCCCGTGGCCGAGGAGAAGCAGTGCAGTACGGTCTGAAATCCATCCGGATCGCAGGGCCGGAGCAGGCCAGCGAAAACCTGGACACCCGGAGTAAGTTGGAACGGCTTTGCTCGCTGTGCTAGGCAGACTGCATTGCATATAGAGACCTTTTGTACAGCACGACTTCGTTGTAACCCTTTGCTCAAATGCACATTCCTCATCATCATCCGCCAAGTGGCTTTATCAGTGACACTTCGGTTCCAAAAGGTCTTTCAAGTTGCAGAAAAAAAAGCACCAAACGGGTGTGGAGTGGACCAAACGATAGTATTTGACAATTCGAGACAGTGACTTTTAGCCTGCCATCTGAGCGGTAACAGATTTGATTATTGCCTAGTATAAAAAGTTGTGTTTTCAATCTTGTCATTTATAAATCGAGTCAAACGTAGAACAGAGGGAGCCCTTCAAGAAGTGCATGCCTCCTAAAGTGAGAAGCATATTTTTCCCCATAGATAATTCTTGACCCAAGTACTACCCAGTAGTACTCAAAATAGTATACTCAGAAAGCAGACGGGTTTTTGCTTTTTTGTCAACGGAACTGCACGTGTTATAGAAAGTCCACAGCTTGAAAATTTGTCAAAACATGCATAGCGCCCCTCCCCATTTCATTTGTCCTAGTCTCTACTTTCTACTGTCTCATAGATACACGTTTATGAATTGGAATCTTTGGGGATAGTATTACGAATTGTATATCTGCAAGTGGCCAGTCGTAAGTTGGTATATTGCCTTATTTATGATCTTACTATGTAATGCTGTGTATTAGGCCTATATCGTCTTCGTGTCATGCCACGAGGTTAGTCTTAAACATGGGCGGAGATTTCTTGTTACGTGGGGGGATGATTTCTGAAAGCTCAGCACGGCCTCCATCCTTGGTGAGATCGTGACGCCGGCAAGTGTGTAGTCGATGGTACAGGCTAAGGGTGCGCAAAGTCAGTGACTTGAAACGTGGGGATGATTATATGGGCTATCCCGCCACCCCCCGCCCCATCTCCGCCCATGGACTCAAAGTACGATTTGTGCATGCCTGGCTGACTTTCTTATCTAGCTGAGCGGTCTGAAACCTAGCCAACATTGATGTACTCCATTGTGCAATTGTTGCCAGGTGTGTAGGTGTCCATGGTGTTTAGTACACCCTCAGAGGCAAATGAATTTGCTTTTTTGCTGCGATTTGTTTTACCGCGGTATATTTATGAAAGCAAAGGAAGTGGGATACATTTTACTGTTTGGCAATGCATTTCATTTAACTTGAAAATTGTCTTCAAAAAGAGGTTTTTAAGTCATCGACTCACAAATCCGGAGTTCCCATTAATCAGGTGATGGAAGGTCAGCTGAGGCATTTTACGCGGACAAGTTTGCCAATTTCTGCCCATTTTTAATCAGGCCAAATGTTGACCAAGCTAACACAATACTCAGATTATGTCAGTGACAACCGATTTGAGCCAAAATTGCACAAACTTAGTGCTTGATGTGCTATTTAAGAACGATTGTTCATGGGGTTAGCTGACATAATACTCTCTATAAAGGAGAAAATCATCAACTTGAAGTTCTCAGTTTAAGACCTGTTTGAACGATTAAGGCCAATGTCAGACACTTTGAAATTTTCATTTGTATTTAGTATTGGTAGTTGTTGATGTACATGCTTGCCCCGTTAGAACAATTTTTCGGGTAGGCAACGTGTAGCTGGCAACGTCACAAAATTAAATATGCATCATGTCTGGTACCGCAGGCTGCCGATTTTGTATGTACTTGTCAATTTGATTCAATAATTTTGTTGAGGCTTAAATTTGTACGTTTTTACTTTGATGGTTTAGATTTGATACTTGCTAAACTGGTACCGTATCTAATAGACTCATTCATGCTATAAATGGTTAAATATATGGTTAACATGCACACACTGCATAATTTATGTCACATTTCTGAAATTTTATTCTCTATTTACAAGCTAAACTACTATTCTCTTTTATTTAATGACCGTTGACAGGTATACAAAGTTACGGTCACGACTTAATATTGTGTCCACTATACCTTTGCAGTATTAAAAGTCTTTCCGTCAAGAAAAGGATGAACTTCAAGGATGCTTGAATTTATTTTTGACAGTTACACAGCTATTTGTACGAAAGATTAATATGCACTCCTTTCAGGCATCGTATATGAGACATTGAATGTAAATCACAAAATCTGAATGTCGTTTATAAATCTGTCACTATAGTACTGTTGCACACCTGATACTGTGTCATCGACTGTATTCTTGTTTTTAATAAATCAAATGTGTACGCCAGTACTAAAGTTTCTGTTGGTGTTTGTCTCTGTCGTGTCATGTTTCATGCAAACCTGTACAAGGTTCTTCTTCCTGGAAATTAAAAGGCATAAGCAATTTTTATTCAGTTTTTGCTAATCCATCTTTGTAACCCATTTAATATTGGTTTCATTTTTATTGTTCTATATTTGCATGGTCAGTGTGCTGCTTTTATGGTTACGAAAAACGTACGTATACATCCAATTCTTCGGCTTCTGTTCCTTTGTCCTTACTCTGTATTAAAATGACAGGTGTCGCTGCTGCAGTACTCTGCCCTGTCCGAGTCAGTGCGGTAACATTTGGCGGGGTTGTCCCTCGAGCTGCACGTCGACTGGCTTACCCTAAAGACATGGGTATTGGTAGATATGGGGTAAAATTAAAAAACATCAGATATGGCCGGCTAGAACATATACATAGCTATTACATAATCGACATTTGCGCGGTGACAGGAAATATCTGCAAACGAATGTCTATTTGTTTTATGTCATGTTTTATGTTTCAATGGAAAATCTTCTTCAGCGTGTTGCATAAAGATTTTTAGCAAACAACAATGCCGAGCAGCAGCATAGTTCACATTTTTACCACTGCGTTCCCGGAGCCGTTCCCTGGTGATTGCCCCGCGTTTTTGTATGTCCACTATTCTTCAGAAAGAATGAGTGAGCATTGTAACTGGCCATTTTCTTGCGTCCTGATTGGCTGTGCCCCCTGGCTCTGCCGAAAGGCGTGCACCCCAAAATCGCGGCACTCGGGGCGCACGTGCACCATTCTGTGTCTGGCAGCGATAGGGTGTGGGTTGCGCTTGAAGAGACCTCCGTGGCTGAAAACTGGTTGAAGACCGGACGGTATGCAACCCTGATCTACACAGAGGACACACCCTTGTCACCCACGGTGAGTATTCTGTGTACTTTGTGAAGGCGGCAGGGGAAGAAACCAAGACCAACTGTTGGACTAGAGGTCATTAGTCACTAATTATGCTATTAGTTTTCCTTTGCCAATGAAATTGTCGGTGTGCTTCGAAGCCATGGATAATACCTAAATTATCAAATGTCGATAATGGGCCCCAGTGTAGGAAAGTAGTCCGCTATCTGGGTTCTGTATTTGTGACAATATTTACTTTCCCCTTGGTTCCCCCTCATTTCCTGAAAATCTAGTAACTCCTTTAGGAAAGAACGGACGCCATTAATTTTCTCTGCAATGACGAAATGGCCATCCAAAGTCAAATTAAAAAGGGAACATATTAAGGTATTCACCCGGAAAACATTTCGATTGTTCCCATAGTCCCATAGGGTTTGAATTCTGTCTCTCTTTTGGACGCAAATTTGGCCAGAATCATTCATGTTTTTGTTAAGATAGAGGTTTGTTAAATTACGTGTATGGGAACCATTAGATTTTTAATTCTATTCCTCATCAACACTGAAATGATGTTTATTGGATCGAGCTATACAGATAACTTACTGGTTCTGTCGAATTTCTCTATCCAGCAACCATGCTTATTCTACCGAGGCTCACTGTCCTTCTTGCCTTCCTGGGCGCCCTTTTTGGGCAATCGGCCGCCAGGTTCGGCGACGCCATCGAGGATAAGGTGTCTGATAGCCGGTTCCGGAACATGGGGCAGGCCTACATCTCACAATTCGAAATAGTCGACAGTACGACGAAATTTCAAGTCGTCTTAGAGGTGAGAATCCCTTCCAAAAGAGTTATAAAAATGACGAGAAATGCGGGGTTTTTACTAGTCCATGGTGGTAACTAGCTGCTACCAAGCCAGAAATCCACCGGTAGAGCTGAATATCTCGAAGTCAAAGTGGGAAAAAAAGATCTTAGCTTCTTTTTTCCCACTTATGACCGCGTAGGGCCCCAGGGTAGGGAGGTAACCCACAATCTATCGTGCAACCCAACTCTGTTTTAGCTTTCTGTGCCTCCCACTTTCTGAGGTTCCAAGTTCAACTTAATGAAACGCGTCGCATGAAGTTCCATCCGGCAAGAATGTCGAAGTCGGGAAACTCGGAAGTGAAATTCAGACCGTCAGTTTCAAATGCAAGAAATCAAACACTCGAACAAAAGCTCAAAGTTAACGAAAACTAGAGAGGTTTGAATGTGTTATGTACTCGAATCACAGTGAAGTCTGCATTACACAATTTCACTGAGAATTACAAGATTCTTTTTTTTTTTAATTTTAGGACACCTTGAACGAGCCCGAGTACTGGGTGGTTGATTTTCAGCAGTACGGCGCTGAAGGTCTCACGGCTGTCGATACCCAAACCGGCAGTATTCACCCTGAGAATACTGGCGAGTGCTCCAGCGTCATCTTCAGTGCACCCTACCAAGAGGAGAATGTCACGGTTGGCTACTACTTCAGTGACCAGGGCAATTTCGTGTAAGATCATTGTTTCTCCCTTGTCCCCTTCCATATACTGACAGGTATTAGAGAACCCAGGACAGCAAACAACCTTCCCTGATCAGAATTGCATAAAGAGGTTGAACATCTTTGAATGATTTGCCCAAAATTGGCTTGTATGGGTGCGCACTGTTTACTCTCGTCGAATAGCGCACTATATATTTTGCAAAGGTAATAAACAGAAACAAAGGTGGTTCATTGGGTTCAACTTGTTACATGTCCAACACGAAATTCATTTCTTTACATTTTAGAATGACACCATCTGTATCCACCCTGTCTGTACAGTGCATGTTCTATAAAGCGAACTGTCATTGCGCTGTCCAGAATCCAAATAATATAGAATGATCATTTTGACTTATAAATGACTGAATTTCAAGACCCAGAAATCGGTTGTTTCATTTCTCTTTTTTCCAGGAGTAGAAACGTGAGCCTAACTGACAATCAGATAGACGGCAGTGGAGCAAACAAACGTCTCTTCACCAGCTACCAACGCGGAAGCAACTTCACGGAACCCGACAGCGATGGAAACGACATCCAAAGACGAAACTATGTCCTGTCGTTTGATGGTACGACCTTATTTCTCCCGTAATGAATAGTCACATACATGTAGCTAAATTGTTTTACCAGGCCATCAAAAATGTATTCTCCAAGAAAAAAAAAGAATTGCTTACGGACACACTAGGATGTGCCGGAAGTATTGCGGTATGTACGTGTACATCCAACCGAATTATTACTGAATAAAAACATGCTTTTTTCTCTTCCTTGACCTCGTCAAGATGATTTTGGTTACTTTTTCAACTGCACTGACACGAACGGCATGAATATCTGGGAGTTCTCCAATACGACCGATACTATCGAGTTCCGAACGACAATCTACTTCACCAATGTCAGGCCTGTGGACCCCACTGACGGCACGAAGGTAGGCTAACCAACGAAACCACGCCCTTTAAGATTGCTTCTCCGAGATTTACTATGATGACTTGCGAGCTAAATTCTTTATGCACAATCGGGATGTAAGGGCCATTTTCCCAGATATAAGAGGTTTTCGTGCAACTTAGTTACACGTTTGACCAGTGAATGACTGCTGCAGTCAGGTGATTGTATGATTTCTGTTGTAGGGTATGTCCTGGGTAACGTCCAGTGTGGATCTGTTCTACCGCCTGAATCGAGTAGCCATCGTCAATTTCATTGTCAGCTCCATCGCCTTGGTGAAACCAGTACTGGACTTCGTCATCATTGACTTGTATTTCCCGCCGGCAACACCGGTATGCATGCTTTTTACCAGCTAATTAGCCTTTTAGAAGCATGGCGGACACAATAAGAGGGCGCTATTTGGTGTGGGTAAAATATTTCGTTTACTCCAACTTTTATCAAATACCCACTTCAAAAAGCGCCCTCCTATTGTGTCCACCAGGCTTCTAGAAGGCTTATTACAAATGGTGCTTAAAGCAGCCCTCCTGAAAAAGTCCAATCTCGGCAACTCAGACCTCAACATTATTGTAATGTAAACGATGGTATACTCGCAATTTCACAGTATTGATATTAAACAAACACGTAATACAAACTTGCGACATTAGGTCTCTAGAATTCCTTCATATGTGAAAAATATGAAATCTGGAAGGGCCCGACATAAAAGAATTTGGGGGGAGGCATACTTTACACGTTGATTCTTTTCTTTGGTTTCAGACTATTCCCGATACCAAGAAAGTTTCCATCGAGATGCAATTCCAGACCACCATTGAGTCGCCAAATGGTGAGTTGTTGGCGTTGTACAACAGCACCTCGTTTAAATACCTGCCCAAGAATGAAACCGCAGCCAGCTTCATCAACTTCGACTTGGGCTACGACTTTCCGAATGGCACCCAACAGTGCCAATACGTGGGGTGAGTTACAATGGGCGAATAACAAAGTGGCTTTCATTTGAGTGTCTCGATTCTCTCTTGTGACGTTTTCCTTGGATTTTCCTTTTCTCACCGAATGAATTTAACGCACTTGCAATAGTACTCACCCCTTTCTGTAAGTTAACCTTTCCTGCCTTTATTGACCAGAACCGCAAGATGCCGACAGATTTGGAATTTCAACTTCGTTCTCGAACTAGACGTGGTGGTCACAGATGACGACATGCCAATTGATGCCACAGGTAAATCGCCTCCTACCCAAAAACATCGGTTTCATTTTGTCCGGCTTTTGGCGGACCAACGGTAAGGGACCAAAGGTTAGAAGGGCGTCACATTTAGTCTAATTTATGAGCCCATTCTACAGATTGGACTTGACTCGATCCTTTGAATAACCTCCTTTCTGAAGTAATCAGGTTTGTCTGGCGACATTATCCAGGTACTTTCAAGTTTTTGTTCGCCAAGTACCAGTGCAATGATCCCACGGAGAAGAAACCGATCGATTGTATCGAGATGAACGTGGATCCTCTGACAATTTCCCTCGAGGTTACAATACAGGTGAGCAGCAACGTCCGTGAAACAGGTGTCTATTAAAAAAAATTAGATCCTTTGTACATGGCATTGAAGGCCTTTTGCTTGTACGTCCTAATCGCTTCGATTTCCCAATCATTAGGTCAGTTTTCTTATTTTTTTTACAGACTGTTGTTCAGGTGGTGGATAGCACCTCAGATACCCCGACTATTCAGCTTGTTTCACTCACCGGCAATAACGGGGAAGATCTGCGGAGCGGCGGAGGGAGACGAGGCGTCAATCATTTGGAGCCTGTCAGCATCGTCGTTCAGTAAGAGTTAAAACCCGAGAACTCGCAATAGCCAGCGAAATCAGAAACCATTGAATTTGATTTGCTTTTAGCAGTTAACATTAATGGGACTCTACCAGCAGATTAAATTGAGGTTCTTGTAACTTTTAAATTCGAAGAATGTGAGATACATGGCACGCAGATACATGGACATGGATAAGACAATTTGATTTTGATGTTAAATACACTTCCCAGGACAGATGCGAAGTGTTAGTGTTCACTGTCTGCTCCTTGGGATGTTCAGCGGCAGGGACCTCAATTTTTCCACATCCCAGGCACCCAAAACAGGAGTCTTTTTAAAAAACTGCATGTACTTACTAACGTTCTTCGTGTTTTCATTTCGTTTCAATTCAGATACTTCCCAGAATTCCTCCGGAGAGACTTTGATCTAGAGTTGACCCTCTTCATGGTGTGCAAGTCCAACTTGCTTAGCTCGGATGCAGTAAGTATATAGCAATCCAGTCTTGCGCATTCTGTCGGAAACTAATTGTATTACACCCATTGTAGGCGATGCAAGGAGTGATTTGGGTTCGGATTTATGCAAAATTTATGCTGGTAATATACATATTAATTTTGTTCAGAATTAATGTACACCTCTGAAACGATGTGAAAGTTTCACATTCACGACATGAACAGTTCTTTTTAGCTCATGAAATGATTTTGACTACGGCACCCATAAAAGTATGCAGCCAATCCGGTGTTCAAAGTTGTGATGTATATTACTTTGTTGAGCAACTTTTGTCGCACAGGGCTGGGGTTTGACCTTTAGTCATCTCTTTAAGGCGTCTCTGAAAGATTTTCCCCTTCGTTTGTAATTGCCTCCAAGTCCGTGCATGTATATTGGCCCCATGTCATTCATTAGGCCTACGTCCATTTTGAAGCGGCCTCACGAGCTCCTTGTGAACAGGAGTGAAGTGAATTTCGTTATTTGAGAAGACCTGGTTATAGGTGAGCCTTTTCCCTATCCAAAGACTACCGAAATGATCATGATCGATGCGATTTCCTGTGGTAGGGGTGTCTCAGTGCTCCGCAGGCTCAACGCTACGTCGCCTACTCCAATGCCAACTTTCAGTTCGCCGTCGAAACTGATAACAACGGTGACTCCACGACTGTTACCTACGACTCGAGTAGCCTGACGAACGACAACAAAGTGCAGAAGCTCACGACAAACGCGTACGACTCGGTGAGATTTTATCGGTTCTTTACAGAAGTTTGACTGTCAACAAGTGCCTCTAACGGGCAAATGAAATGCTGGTTATTATGCCACCATTAGAGTGACGGCAGGTTTAAATTAATAAGCAAGTTTTGGAAACCACCCACTGAACTTGACAATAGATTTCAAGTAGTTACGGTGTTCCTTTTGATTTTACCCCCATTACCACGGTGCCTATCTTTAGAACTGTCAAGATGGCCTTTGTTAAACTACCAACGGAACTGAAAACTTTCAGATCGGCTTTTCACTGACGGGAATTGTATATCTGAAGACAGTCAATGAAACAAGGGATACGTTATTTTGTACTCATCAGGATGTAAAAGTAAGCGTTTAGTGGAACATTACAATAGAAATGCTTTTTTTCAGTTGAGAAACCCTAGTCTTGACAAGTTCTCATTTTGCAGACCAACGAGGTTTACAACATGGGTTTCACCAACACAGCGCTGTCGCAGGACCGGTTGACGTACACGATCACCACCGTGTTCCGACTCGTGCAGAAGCCCAGTGCGCGAAGGAGACGAGCCATCGCTGCTCGGACGCAGCTGATACTGACGTCTTCCCTCGACGGCGATGTGGAGCGAATGGCCCGGGGCCTAATGGCTTACGGACTGCCAAGAGCCCGGACGAGACGAGATATCATGGAAGCCGTTGCAGACCCCCAAGGTAAACACACCATACTGCTCCTTATAGAAATTTCTTCGCACTTTTAGGGTCTGCCATTTTGACGTCACAGTCGTGAATTTCCTGCAAGTGGCTGCTACAACTATGGCCGGCCATCTGTACAAAATAAAAGAATAATGCACGATAAAACCCCAAGCAGCAATCAGAACACCAGATAACAATTCACGTATTACTTAATACTGAAAATATAACCTTCTTTAAAGTTATTGGGACGACTGTACGTTTTACCGATACGGTATAAAATCGAAACCAAAAGGTTTTTCGCCAAGTTTGCCACCCCTACAAATTTAAGGCAGAATGAGTTTCTATAGCTATGATTTGACAGGGAAATGCCACATCTTGCTTTTTTTTAATTCAGTTTCATCGTGAAATTTCGTGAAATGTAAAGCCAAACAAACGACTGGCAGATCTAGGTTGAGGCTTGTTCTACAACACCTGTGATGTTCCGGCCTTTATTTTAATTTGATCAATGTGCTCCACTTGCCCTCAGGTCACATATACACGCTGACATTCAACGGCTGCCCGGCAAACTCCACGTTCAACGCCGGTACCTATCACTGCCAGTGCGACCGAGAAAGCGAACGCTACAGCACGGAATCGTTCACGTGTCAGGGGCCCAAGTCCCTCCCGCCTGGATTGGCCCCCGTTGATGTTGTCGAAGATCTCCAGGAACCCGATTCTGGGAGGATGCCTTCGTCCGGCATCAGTACTGCCCCCGACTCCGCCCTGTTCTACGCCGTATTAACAGTATGGTTCACTGGATTCTTGTGCTTACTGTAAAGTGGTGAATCCTTTTTCACATAAATTCATAAGCCGCTAGTTTAATTTCACTTTTTTTGAAATAGAATTAACTGCACATCACAGCATCTCTGCACAGAGCACTTTTGAAATGGCTATTGTTGTCCGCTTTTTAATATTAAACAAGAATAGGTGTCGGTCCCATTGAAGTTTGTGTTACGCTTGGATGAACGTTCCTTCTCAATCTTCATTACAGACTTTTTGATTTGAAGTTTATGATTCAAAAATCTGAAGAGAAAATATTAGTCTGGAATCAACACTCTTACTGTTTGCAAGTAGGCATAAGGCTCTGCTTTCACTCTAACCGCAAGATTTGATTTAAACTTGAATGTTACTTTGAAATTCCAGATTGCATTATGTTTAAGATCTTTTGATTTTGCTTCAGACTCGATGTGCATTTGAAAATTTTACAATCTTGAATTTATTTTATTCAAAGTTGAGTCTTGACTTTAAATTGGTTCGACCCCCTCGTATTTGTATAAAATCTTCCTAGTACTTTGTGTTCAATAAAAATGTGCTAGTTTATATAATTTAAGATGAAGACTAAAAATATAAACAGGGCCCTTTTTCTGTGAAAAATTATATTGAACATTAATTAATACAAGAAGTTTGTTGTTGAATTTGTGATTTAGGTGTAAGAATTTTCTAAAGCCAACGTTTTAAAAGATATAGGACTCAAAGGCGTAACTTTTGTTTCTTCCTTGAGCTATTAAAAGAACGTATATTTTTGGCTAAATGTTTGTGTGATGTCAAGTTTGCTTCAAGGCATGATCACATAGAAGCCATTAAATCAAATGTGTGCGATCTGATAAAAAACTACCCAAATTATCCAAACACCTGTTTTGTATTCTTAAAATATGCAGGTTTCTGACGGAAGTTTCAAATTTGAAAACCTTGGTTTTAGTTTAATGAATGAACTAATGAAACTGATCAAAATCTTTGAACTTTCTCCGCCAGTAACTGGGGCCTCGACCTGCATTACCTACAGTAACCTATGGCGTTATTTTTCGGGGGAAAAAAAGAACAAAAATATGCAGGAAAAAATAGTTAAACTCGGTGCCGATGACACTTTAAACACCAAGTGACTAATGTAAGACATAAAGGCGCCTTATATCGCCAAATCCATTAATTTTTGGATGCGGAATGCCGATTTCAGCGAAAAGTGTACTCAAAAGCAAACAGTCGGAATTACGTTATAGTCGGTTACTGATGACTGGGGTTGACCGCAAAATTAGTTTGTTTTCAGATTTAGGACAACTATGAATCACATGATACCCCTTCCGTGACACTGGAAAACTGCAAGACCTGGAAGAGGAATATCGTGCCAAAAGCTGACCTCTCACTTCTGAAACTCTAAAATACATGACGACCACTGCAATTGGCCGTACTCATGCGCAAATGTAAAGTAAACACATTATTTGCAGGCAAATCTGAGGTAGAAACTGAAGAACAGGAGACTAAAATGAGTATACAAGATATAATTGACACTGACGAAGCATTTTAAGTCCAATCTAACCTTTGCTTGCATGTCGGGCCGCTGTTTTTGTTTTTACACAACAGGCTGGGGGAAACCTGACCTGAATTACAGCTGTGATTGTGGCTTTGGAGGATTTTAAGGGAAGTCCGACATTTTAACAGGGGGCGCTTCCACGAGGCATGAAGACTAGTCTCCTTTCGAGAAGCATTTTCCCACAGGAGAGAACTTGGTATATCCAGAGGCAGTTGTGTTTATTAAAAAATAAACGAGCAAAAACAAACCAAAAACAAAACACGCTGTTCAGCTTCCCTGAATCTATCCCATTGCATGTAATATGTTGAAATGCATGGTGCTAGACTATTTGGGGTTCCATGACTCACTTTCATTTTTTTATGTGGCTTAACACATGCAGATATAATAAATCACAAATGTTTAAATTATTCATCAGCATAAATGGCGTTATTTGGAGTGATTTTTTTTTTTATTTCAGTGCTTTCCTTTTTATTTCCAGGTGCCTAATATACATAGTTGACCCCGTTTTCAGTTCAATGTAGCCGACTTCTGAATAAGGTCAATAGTGCTTGCACCAGTATTTCTGTCTCGTCACTCCCGAGTTCAAAGTGTAGATTATATTTACAATCTACAGCAAACTGCAGATTCGTAAGTTAAAAATTCATTCTTTATTTTACCACAAAATTGTCAATTATAATATGTCATGATTATATAAGACAAAAATTAATGTGGACGGGGGTCCCCAAGAAGCAAAGCTTGTCGAGCAGGTCCTCCAGTGCATAATTAACATTACATCTTAGCACAAAGCACACCTAACACACATTCACATCATAAAACTAAACCAAAAAAAAAAAACCAAAAACGGATCTACAGTTATTTTACATAACAATGAGTGCAGATTCGTGACGTCGAAGGAGTTACCTGGGCCATTCTTGGCACGAATCTACAGTTCCTCGTCCATTCTCCTTCAAGTTGAAGTTAAAGCGTGGGGCAAGTAACTAAATTCGCTAAGGCTGCGAATTTAGTGATTGGAAAAAAAAGTCATGAAAAGCAGTTTACTGTTGGCAGCAAATCTTCACTGTACTTGTATAAGGACTAAAGGACAAATAGTTCAAGATTTGACGGAAGGTTTAGGCCTTTTTACGGGAGCCCGCTACAACCTACTACCAAAGATAGTAAAGCGCCATACTACCAGTGGCTTAGTTCTGGCGGCTAGTTCTCGTATGTTCACGAACAGCTCAATTTGTTTTTCAAGGGTCGGCCGCTCGAACGCCGAGAACAAACAACCAACGATTGCTGGAAGTAGGGGTAAGCAATATGCAACATGGCGGCGGCCATGTACATTATTTGAGAGTTTATGTTTGGATAAGCTTTAAACAGGAACATTCATTTCTGTGTTATGGAAAATTATCAATGTAAAATTGTCCAAAACTTCCCATTGTCTGTAGCTTCTCTCTACTTTTTGCAGCTGTTAAAAAATCAAAATTTCATGAGTTTTTCTGTGTGTTTCTGTTAAACCCTGACGGGATCCTGTTGCGTGAACATTGTTCTTGGATCGTGCTCCCGCCGTTCGAGCATGAGAACAAGCAGGCCGCCCGAATTCGACCTTTGCTACTACTCTTTCGCACTGATCAGCAACGTGCGATTGATGGCGCCCTGTATTGGCCAACTGTTAACTGTTGGTGGCGCTTTAATTTGTTTACAAATTTCCGCACCGCGTGCGGATAAACAGGCCTTTACCGCTGATTTTGCACAGATAAATTAATTCTGTTTGCTTTCAACTGTTGTAAAGCTACAGGTACTTTTTTGAACACTACCAAATTCATGAATGCCATCATATAAACTCCAAAAAGGATGAAGGTGGCTGTGGAAGGAGGGTGCCCAGTATGATGTCATTGAGGTAAGAACATAATGGACCCAATAACATGTCTAATGTTTGAGTCACAGAAAGCCAACATGACCAAGACTTGTCAGAAAGTCCTTATGCAGCCGAAGGGTTGTGGACAGCTAGAGCAAACTGCCTAAAAGTGTCCTCCAAGCGTCCAGACTTCTCTGCTTTTTAAGCAGAATTTAAGTAACTTGGGTTTTCAATTGCCATCAAGGCCCCCTTAACTTAACCATCGTAACCCCGCCATATTTCTCGTATTCACTGTATGGCATGAAGACGGAAGTGTGGTCTTAAGCTTCAAAGTAATTTCAAGGTACATTTAGATTTGATTTGATTACTGGACTCATAGTGCCAGAAGACAGGACGGTTGCACTGAAAACAGTCCATGAGTGCAGTTCTGGTCATAGAGTAAAAACTGGCTCTTGTACGACTCATTGACGACACTACATTACAAGATTTGAGTTGTTAACTGTGGTGCCAAATGCTGTCCGTATCGATTCAAACTGATAGTCTGACCTCGACAAGCACGGTGGTTGAGTGGTATGACATTTGTGCTGGAAAGCAGGAGGTCATTGGTTCAAATTCTGTTGGAGGATGTATGTGTTTTTTTTCACAAGCCGTATGAAAGTGCTAAAGATTTGCCTCTTTGACAAGTGAATTCTAGTTGTGACAGACACTTGCTCAAAGGTATTTTTATCTTGTCAACATAACAAGCTTTTCATATGAGTGGAATGTGAGACAAAAACTAGAGCATAGAGGTGGGTTGCCACATCCAACAGACCAAGATTTCTTTTGGAGAGAGAGGCACAGGTATACTGTAAACTACTGTACTATAAATGTGCAAGATAGCAGCGTGCTAGAAGTGTTGATACAGCAAATTGCTAAGGAGAAAGGTCTATTTCAGACAGTATCTAATTTTTTCAAATTTCCTCTTTTTCCCATCTTTTTTTTTTTTGGGTGCACACACATGTACAGCAAAACAAATAAATAGGTATAGACCCAAAATATATCTTTTATGCCTGCGTAACTTGTACACTTCCCTGTTTCGGGGGAGCGGAGGTGTCTCGTCTCATAGAATGCCTCTTATTTTCATTCATTTTCTTCCAGATGCAGAGGGTGAACATGTGGCACATTTCTCCAGAGCTTTAAAAAGCTGAATATGGAGTTTATCAAATTTTGCGATCTTTCAATCTTTGGGGAGGTGATTAATCAGGTAGGTCATAGAATGTAGTCCTTGCCAACAGGACCATTTCATGAAAAATACCCGATTGTACTCTTCCATGATTCAAAATATTTTGCAGGGCGGGAGCTTCATGGGCATCGGAGGCAATTGCCTTGATGCCCCTGGTCTTTACCTTGAAACCCATTGAAATATTCCCATAGACAAGTTGATTGTCTTAATACAGATGCTCTTTGTGAAGGACAAATTGCCTTGCCCCTTCAAGTATGAAGTTCCAGCCCTGATCTAGATTTGAGAGCTGTCATAAGGATAAAACCTGTAAGACACTGACGCAGCCGCGCAAAGCTAGATAAACTTTATAGATAACATCAATGTAAACATTGTGCAGTGCGTGCATACAGCATGTTATCCATGGTCAAGAAGTTTGCCATCTATAATCATCTTGAGGAAGAATCGGTTAGTTTGGATGGATTCTAATTTGAATAAGCACGAACTGTCTGCAGCAAAGTCGACCTTGAATAAGAAAGTTACATCCTATTTTGATAAAGATGGCTGTACATGCCATAAGTACACCAACCAACTATAAAGATGCCTATTCAGAAAGTGCAATTAATAATTTCAAGTAAAATTTCGGTCACTTTCTTAGAGCCCGAATTGTGTAATAAATTGACAAAATGACACAAATGTTTGGAACTCATGAACTTTTAATTTGTCTTAAAAGTGAATGCCAGACTAAACATGTCTTGCAAAATACTGAAATCCTTTAACATAAACAAGACTTAATAAACTTGTCATGAAAGAAAACATTCCCAAAGGCATTTTTTATGTTAAGACAGAACAGATCAAAACTGAAGTTAGAAGAATGCATAACATTACTAATCTTCCTTAATGTCTCTAAACTAAAGTCATTTCCACACCTTGCTTTTTTCATTTTTCGTTCTTGTTGCTGTCTTTACTAAAACGCTGGCATATTTCAGAACTTTGTCAAATCTTTTATACAGCACAAATGATTTTTGATTGAAACAAAAGCGCTGTGTACAAAATCGATGAAGTTGTTCTAAAACAAAGTACTCGCTAAATCACAATCACATATATATTTTTTTATGACAGCGGTTTGAGGAAATGAAGGGCTAATGCTGTTAATAAACAACTTCTCTTCAAGGAATTTAAACATTCTCAGTGGCACTTTTTTATGCTCCCAGGACTGAACAAAACTGAATTCAAGTTGACACAAAGCCTAACCTTCGTTAGTGTCTATAATAAAAATAATTGATACACCTGCGTACCTTCCATTATAATCATTCTCCCTTGATCGTTATATTGCTGCAATAGGAAGGGAAATCCTACCATTGTTTTTCATTTGTCTCTTCAATTTGTCTTTTGCTGCCGCCTTCTACAAAAACACTGGTGTATTTCAGAGCTTTGTCGAATGTACAATACTGCACAAATAATTTCAACTTAAACCGAACGCAGCTTTCAAGCAATGCACTTGTCAAATCATTCACAAAAAATCGCACTGATAGGCCTAGATGTTTTTCTTTTTTAAAATGAAAGGCTAGCAATGTTAACAGTTAAATGTTAAAAAAGCTTCTACTGAGATAGATAACAGTTTGTTGATACATTCACAAGCGTGCTTTTTTACACCTATGATGCTAGTTTTTAACAACTGAAATTGATTCTCACTGAGCAATTTTTTTTTGTCATCGCCAACAGCCCTGGAACTAAAATCAATGGTGAACATGCCTTTTATCACCTTACGGAGGTGACTCGTAAATTAGGCCTATGTAGGCTCTTAATGCGTAAATATACTCACTACGTAGGCCTATAAAATATCTGCTGCGATATCACTCAGCCTTTACTGTCCGTAATTGAGTTAGGCTACTTCTTGTCATCCTTCGGAGCATCTTTAAGCGCCTCAGACGACTTTTCCCCAGCCGCCACGTGCTCGATGGGTACAGCCCTCTCTGCCTCGCCTCGTCCGGGCGCTTTGAGGCTCAAAACTCCACCAGCATCCAGGCTTGACTTGAGGGCCTCCAGGTTAACATCTGTGGGCAAGGTGAACTCCCGTGTGTAGCTCCTCTGGACGCTCCTGCCCTGGGTCTGCTCCTCGTGCTTCGCCGCCACTCGCAGGGTGTTGTTGTCGACGATCTTGACAGAGATCTCTTCAGGAGTGAAGCCGCTGAGGTCGAGAGCAACCTTGAAGCCGTGTTCCGGTCGGGATATTGCCAGGGCTTTGTCGCCGACACCGGTCGCCTCGGCAGTGCGCTCTGTTTCAGTAGGGGTTCCATGCCGATCACATAGGATCCTCACGCCATAGTTGTCAAGCAAGTCCCGGGTGAAGCCATCCCAGTGTCTCCTGTACACCTCATCGAAGTTGCCTCCGAGAGACCTCCGCAGCCCGGAATGGGCTGTCCAGGGCCAAGCATGGAATGTGCCGTCCATGTACTGGTCATTGAAGAACCGATGGATGCCCATGTCTTCATACATGTCTCGACTGAGTTGGTCGGCCAGCCCAAAGGTCGGCACAATTTTCCAGTGTGATGACATGCTTTGAACAACTGTCGCAGATTGGAGTCAAAACAGTTTTAATCAATGCGATCGAAAACCAGCACTTCAACAAGTGAATTTCCCAGTCAGGATATCACACGCTAAATCGGAATGCTGCTTTCTTCTGTGAAATTGCAACAAGTCTGGCTTTACTTTTATTTGCATGCGTGCTCTGTACGAGAACGTTCTAGATCCATCGCGCACGCGCGGCGCACTCATACCTTGTTAATAGACTTGATGTCAAGTCGTGCGTAGCCGAAACTTTTCAGTGTGATACTGCGATAGACATAGTAACTTAGTAAGCTGCCGAATCGAGCTCCAATATGTGGAATGAAGAACGTAAAATACCCATGCTGGGGTGCAAAATTAGTGCACATGTTCTTCGGTCCGAAATGGCCGACTGAGACTCAAAACCCGACCAACTACCGACTCGAGGGCAAGTCTACTCCGTAATGTTCTGTAGTATTGTGGATTGAACTGTAGGCTTTGCTCTTCACGGAATTGGCCGTGAATTCGTAACTGTGCGGACTAACCCTGTCACGCACACACTTCTCACATATCACTGTGCATAAATACGAGAAGCGATCTGTTGACCTATTTCCACCCGCAAGAAACGTCTGGAAATGTCTAGATTGTTGACACGCAGGCATTGTACGCGTGTTATCGTTTCAAGTGTGGCTAAACATAGTAAATAATGTACACATAGGTCCGTGACCTGCATAACTCGTCGCTCTAGCGTTTAGATCATCACGTCAGAGTAACAAACCCTCATTTTTTCGATTCTTTACGTTAGTGCGAGCCTTTTGTGGAATCGCGTTCGTGTTTGTACTGTATTAAAGCCACGCAAAAGTTTTACTCCGTCGGTCGGAACTGGACACGTGGATGCCTTTCCATAATATTTTTAACGTGATAAGCTAGTATCGTGATAGCTTCATTTTTGTCGGAGCTTTAGTTTCTTGGATTTTTTAGTTCAGAAAATTGTCTTTTAAGTGTGTTGTTTGTTGAAATGGTCAAGAGGATATTGTATGCACCTGAAATCCCAACCCTGTAGGCCTACCCCAACCACCCATGCAGAACAGACACGCGCGTACCCATTCCAGCAATTCATAAAAGAAATTGGGATAAATTTCTTCCCGAATCATTATGGTTTTTTGAATGTTAGCAAGTCACTTTTAAAAATTACCAAAACACGTTCAATTTCCCTCTGAAATACGGAAACCATTGTGTTTGCCAGACTTCAGTTTCCATCGGTGAGAATCAACTAGGGCCTATCCGCAGAAATGTCAACAAGATGATGCAGAGACCTGTCAATGCCATCACCATGTTGTCTCTCTTCACATTGCGATCAGCGAGGAGGCAGAGTTTCATACGTGCTCACGAGTTGCGACTGCATGGTTTGTGTGCTTTCTGCGTGTGCTGCCAATCACCGCCGAATTTGGTGAAGGCCCGCAGAGCCCATGCGGAGATCCATGTGGGAATTGGTACAGTGATTCGTCCGAGGAAGATGGGGGAAGAGACGCACATTATGAACTGAGAAAAGACGGGGCTGCAGCGAGAAGTAGGGACACTGTACAATAGTGTACAGGGATGATCGGCCAAACACGGGGAGAGTCTGCCGCTGTGGCTTGTTACGGTTCGGCCGTGGCTTGTGTGGTCGGCGCGGTAAAGTTCAATTGCGGAGACTTCAGACCTATTTGCACGGACCGTGGAAAGCTAGGGGCTTGATGTAATTTTCAGTTGAGCATCTTTGGAATAATGGAGGCACCGAGACTGCCTTTTCAAATGCTTAATCCTAACAATGTTTTCTTTTAACAATTCATGTCAGATTTCCATTTTAGATTTGTTGTCATGATTTCCGAGGGATTAAACTGATTTCGCACCGTAACACCTGTTATTGAGCAACTCACAAACTGGTTAAAAATCTGCACAGGTTATTATTTTTTAAACCAATTTATTGAACACAAGACTGTTGACGGATCCAGGCAATTACATTTTCTTACTGTCACCTTTTGTGTGTGTCGGTACCCGTCTTTGATGATCGAAGACTCTGTGCCATCTCGTTTTCTCTCGGTTACATGAACTGAAACGTGCACTTGTTGAACATTCAAAATTGACGAAGCATTTCCGGACAAGCGAGGGCGCTTTTACACTGTGCTCAGTGTGCATGTTCAAATTGTGAACTCCAATGATTTGCTGTATGAAAACATTTCTGAGTAAAGGTTGCTAACTGGCTCATAGCCATATACTTAAACAGTGGTGTTTAAAAGAAATTTAGAAATTCTTTGTGCACAAATCAGAACAACATTGAGGTTCAGTGCCTAGGATGACATCATAGTTTTGCTCAAGAATATGCATACGTGCATTAGCGTAACAACCAGAGAAGTCCAAAATATCGGTTAAACTAGTAAAACAATACATTTTAATCAGATTAAATTGACACCCAATGGTCTCATATCAAGGGGTTTCACTACAATTTAATAAAATATAGTCCGTGATCCGTTTAACATATCATGCTTATGTTTTGCAAGCATACATCTGTAAACACCTGTAACCAAAAATCACATTTTAATTTATAATGTCTGCTCTGTATGATACCTCAAATGCACGATTTCAACACCCATTGATCACAATATCGCTGTAGTGTGTACCCCACATTTCTTTTATGTTAACTTCCAATCTCCCTCCTCCAGAAGCGCGTATCATCTCAAAACTTCACGAAATCTTATTTTGAATAGTTACAAGGATACAAGGACCAGTTTTAGTGCAACCTTCGAAAGGTTGTGATTTCCTATCCAGATGATACTTAATATTATACAATATAATAAAATTCAATCCAAGGTGGATTATAACGAAATCAATATTAGGCCTGTATGTCAAACATGCAGTTGGCATCAGAGGGCACTCAAAATGAACGGATGTTATATATTTATAACTTTCTAAAAACGTAAAAATGAAAGTCTTAAACAATTACACACACCATTGAACAAACTACTTTGAGGAACAATTATGACAATATTTTTCTTGTCTTGTCCGAAAGGTTAGTGTTACAATCCTTAAATGCAATTACAATCTCACCCAGTCTGTCAGCTTTTTTGCAGAGCTTGTCGAAAGCAATGGCTCTGTGACCATAACTGACTGCAAAATGGAATCAAATGGGTTTCCTACATTTTGATAAAGTCTTATCCAATGAACTGTATATCTCAGTCAGAAGACTTCAGCCACAACATCACTTGAACTTTACTGTCCTTGGTTCAGTCATTTCTTGTCTTCTGGCTTTTCTGCTCCACTCGTATCTGCTTCTTCGCCATGCGATGTTTTCATGTCCTCGTCTGCAGCCGTCTCAGGTGATTTGAATTCGATGGGTACGGCCCTCTCTGGCAGGCCTCTTCCGGGCGCCGTGAGGTTCAAAACCCCTTCGGCATCCAGGCTGGACTTGAGAGCGTCCAGGTCAACGTCTGCAGGCAAGGCAAACTCCTGCGTGTAGTTCCTCATGACGTGGCTGCCGTCAGTCCGCTCTTCGTGCCTGGCCTCCACTCGCAGTGTGTTGTTGCCGACGATCTTCACCGAGATCTCTTGAGGAGTGAAGCCGCTAAGGTCGAGCGCAACTTGGAAGCCGTGGTCCGTTCGGGATTCTGCTGGGGCTTCGGCCTTCGCTGATGGGCTCTCCTGGTCGCTAACGTCCGCGGCCGTGTGGTCGGGGCGATCGGCCTTGGTTGCGTCTTGGTCACATCGGATCCTCACTCCGAAGGTGTCATTCAAGTCCTTCGCGAACTCTTCCCAGTGTTTCTTGTACATCTCATTGAAGTCCCGGCCGAGGGACCTGTGTAGCTCGGAATGGACGGCCCAGGGCCAGGCGCGGAACACTCCATCCATGTACTGATCACGGAAGAACCGATGCACCCCCTTTGGCCCGTACATATCTCGGCAGAGCTGCCGGGCTAGACGAAAAGTTGGCACAACTTTCCAGTACGAAGACATAGTTTGAGCGCGGCTCTAGTCTCTGTCGATAGAAAGATTCCCGCACTCCTTCCTTAGTCTCAAAATGCTGGAAGAAACGCTTCAAAAGCTAGATTTCACAGTCACTGTCGGACGTCAAGTGATGCAACTGTTTCTAGTATTGCGGCTAGCCAGCTTTTATAGAGCGTCGAAATCATATCGAGATAATACGAGAAAGTACGAGAACCCTGTGGAGAGGCAGCGCGCAGTGGATCAATATCGGTTAGGTTATCGTCCCACGGGAACAAAATGATGTAACCATGGCATGAGTTTGCGCGATCACATCATTATGCCTGAACTGTTGCTGTGTTGTGTTTTTCCCTACAGAGTGTTATTGCGTGCAGTCTGTATTTTTATTCATCTGTGGGTAATAACTATTATATAGGGCATGAGCTATTAGTCATTGAAGCCCATTAGTATAAATTGTTTGTCAAACCATGGCCAAACTTTCTGCACCTGTTCATGGAGGAAGGTATTACAGTGACCATACGTGTACATGTACACGTATTTTTATACAGCACCTGTACATGTACATTTTCAAAAGATAAAGCTACGTGAATACTAAGTGCACATATTTCATGTGCAGATGCTTGTACGTGTAAAATACAGCGTACATATGCACAAGTAATGTACATGTACGTGTACTGTACATGTACAATACATGTTCATGTACAATACATGTTCATGTACAGTACATGTACATAGAGAGCTAACCGTTCTATCCTTTGTCCTCCTAAGTGCGCATGCGCTGCTAGCCGTACGTTCCAGAAAGATTCCGGCTCTTTTCATGGGGGCCCTGATTGTGAAGGTAAAAATAGAATATGACGTATGCATGGATCCACGGGCGGTATGACTCATGCATAGAACGTTTATGGTCTCCTACATTGGCTCCAGGAAAGAACTATGACCCCTCGTGGTTTACGGCCTGAACGTACATCATTTATATTTAATAAGTTTTTTGAATACCATGTATTGCTGCGGTATTGCCTACATCTGTGTAAACTGTCTAAGTCAGCAGATTATGCTTCATCTTTTTTCATCAGCATCTGTTACTTGGAGCACAGTTGCGGCAAAAAGTTTACATACACTTGGTAGAAAAACAGTTTTCCTCAATTTTTCGTTGTTTGAAATATTTCTAAACAATCATTTTGTGAAAATTTACATTTACCCCCTTGTTGCCGTCACGTTCCAAAAACAATTCGGAAAGTGGTCCACTGCAATTGTGAGATGTGATAAAAATGCAGAAAGTGGCACTAAATATTTGAGCTGGAGAATGTAAAAGTTTGATTTTGTTTGTAAATATAAATGTGAATCATATATATGTGTCTGGATGTTTTTATTTATTTAATTAATTTATGTCAGTTTTTGGCCAGTTGTCAGAAATGTTGCAAAATGATTATGGAATGCACAGACAGATTTGTGAGTCTATCGTTGCCTCTTTATCGGAGGTGTTAGGTTTCAGATGTGATCTTAGTCAATGCTATACACAAGACGCGTGGCCTGCATATGCACCTGTCGTGTGATGCAGCGGAACGTCACTGAAACGTTTCCAGAATACTTACCGATTGGCCATCAATTGTTATAAATAGAAACAAGAACTTTGAACTATTTGCAGTTGTATTTGTAGCGAATGTGAAACGAAACAGTAGCTTTCGTTACGCATGTAAAACGTTTCTAGGAACAAAATTACATAAAAGGGACACTACACGGGTTGTAGCACATCATTGTTTGAGGCATCTTGTGAGGTTCGCTGTTTCATTAAGCAATTTTCTTCTAAGAGTCTCCTAGTCAAAATCTTCTCCTTCAAAACATTGTTGAAGTTTTTGCGTCAACTATAACGTCGTAGGCTACTGCAATATAACCTCGTTCGACTTCAGCTCTTGTGTATCATCCCTGTGAGGCGCACGTTTGACGGTCTCTGCCCCAACATGGCACCCAGTGAGAAGAAAAAAGGGAGTCCTCTTGACTGCAAGTCTCATCGAGACCGACATCATCATCATCGTCACCACCATCCTCCTCCTCTGGGTCATGCTCCACCTCTAGCAGGTCACCCTCCCCACCCTGGCTTTCTCGGACCGCCTGGCTTCGCGGAGGATTGGGATCCTCACTTCCCACCCCACCGCCACTTCCCTGGTGGTCCTGCCCATCACTTCCGGTTTGAACCAGGCCCGTACGGCCCAGGACGCTGGCCTGGAGACCCAAGAAGACACTGGTGGGATGGTTCTTCGGATGATGAAGAGGCGACAGGTGCGCCATGGTGGTGGGCCGATGAAGGAGACTGTCCCGAGAGACGGCATCCACCGAGGCCCGGAGACCGACGTGGTCGCGGAGGATTCTGGCACCGTGGATTAGGCCTTGGATTTGGCCGTCGCATGTGGGGCCCGCCCGGTGGGTTCGGTCGGGGAGGCTTCGGTCCCGCCGTCGGCTTTGGCCGTGGACCCCTGCCTCACGGCTTTGATTTGATTTCCCATCTACCAGCCCATCCCTGGGATGGAGACAGCGACAGCACCAGCAGCGAGGATGAGGCGGAGTCCGACTTCGAAGCAACCTTCCACCTCGGGCAGTACAAGAAGAAGAACATCAGTGTCAGACTGGCTGGCAGGCATCTGTTGGTTGAGGCCAAGGCAAGAGAGAGGCAGGGCTCTAGAGGGCGCAAAGGAAGCTGCAGAAGATACTTCGCGGAGCAACGCATCCTGCCCAAGACAGCTGATTGGTGCAGAATGACCGCCTCCTTGAGTTTAGACGGGCTGCTGACCATCAGGGCGCCACCACGGGCGGGCGAGGCCAACGAAAACGCGGGTAACTGCGATCGAATAGTCCAGGTACGAGACGAGAGGTCAGCAGACGCCGAGCTGGAGGAACAGATGAACTCCGATGGTGATGCACACGACCAAGACAGCGCAAGAGACGAGTAGGAAGAAACACACGTTGACTTTTGTGACTGCCATGTAGAAAATCAGCAAACTAATTAGATTTCCATTGAAGAGGTCGAGTTATTACGAGGTACACCATTGAAATCAGTAGCTTGGGAGGCTGCCGAGCAGTTTTATTCCTGACGTGAACTTCCATTTTTAATCAAATCTACTCATCTATTCCAAAGAAAAAATGAAAAAATATTACTATTGGCCTGGAACATTTTCTAGAAAAATTGACTTATTTGTGTAAATACTTTGATATCGATCAAGCTTAGAATGGCTAAATCGAGTGTCTATTAAAAAATACAATCTACTTGTACTAAGGCTTGCTTTAGAACTTGTGCTCCAAAAAAGTATAGATTTCATCTGTTTCTGTGAACTCTTGTACTATGGAGTTTTAATAGGTTAAATATAATCGCTAAATCAGCTACATCTTCGTATATTTCTGAACTACATGTATAATACTTGTGCGTAAAATTCGGCAAGACTTGTAAACTTTTGGATATTTGAGCAAGTTGCTCTATGTAAGAAAATAATTTTTTCTTAGAAACACTTTTAAAGTCTGAATTTAGATTGGCTCGTGAAAAACACAAGCTTAAACACTTCATTTTATGTAAATACCTTAATTGTTAATCAGTGGAATGAAATCACTGAGAAATTACGGCTTTATACAGTTTATACAATGCTTTGACGCGAACCTAGTTTTCAAAGAATAGTTGTGATGTTTTTTCTTTAAACAATTCATTTAAGATTTTATTCAGTTTTTCATTCAGTTTTTTTCAGAAACCTGAAATGTAATAAAAATTTAGCTGTTAATGTTTGCAACCTGAAATAATTGTACACACATGTGAATATCTCAGTGATTAATAAAACGCAGGAATATCTTTATTTTCACCTTTGGTTATTGTTTAACTTTATAAAAAAAATAAAAGTAGATACTAAGATAAAGAGTTTGTGGAAAACTACTTGAGTTTATTCCAAAGATGAGGCGATCCATTTGGGGAATGAATATTGTAACTCGAGCAGTGGTGCATCCAGCGATAGGGGGCGGGCGGGGGAGTTCCACCGCCCCCACATGTTGCCATTTTTAATGGAATTGACGGCTTCAGCTTTTAAGAAATGGCGCTAACACATTTCTTTGGGTATGAAGATTCCTCTGCGAATGAAAAAAAATTCGGACAGTCACTTATGTTAAAAAAAAAGTTAATTTCCCTCGACCCAAGATCTGGATACGTCACTGAACCCAAGCTGGGGAAAATTTATCTGAACTTATATTGTGTCTACAACAGTTATTTGTGCGTCTTTAAAGTGACTATGGAATAACCCGAAATATTCTGTAAATGAACAAACCGATACCATAATGCTAATGAAATGAAGAAAGAATCCACCTGTTTGGTTGTCTCGCTTAATTCAGTTTTGTCCCTTGCGTATCAATCGTCTGGGCCATGTAACTGTTCTGTTCTTGGCACTGCCATTACAGGATTTGTATGGAAGATGATTAACTGGTAGACTTTGTTTACATGCTGGATAATACGGCTAAAAGAACAATAAATTGTTTCACTCTATGTTAATAGATTATTACGCGCTTCGTACTTAGAATTAATAAATTTCAAAAGGCTAGTCATTTGTTCTACCCAACAAACAGAATAAAAGAAAAAAATTGAGGCTCTTTTATTGTTTAACAAGTATGTCTTATGCAGATATCCAAATGTTCCTTTTATCATGAACCAGAAGAGAAGCAAAATCAGCCGATGTGGGAGATTCGGACGGAGCTCTGGAGATGCCTCCCGACATGAAGAGTTCTATCTAAGGATGACGTCATGTTACGGGCACTTCAAGTGCTTCGTAGTCTTTCTCGTGTTGATTTAATAAATTTTGTGGCCTTCACGTCCATGAGACTTTGAGAAAAAAAGAGGACCTAATCTAAGACAACATAACAATCTCTTGAAATTATTTCAGTTAATTTAACGTGCATACAAATTGGACGCAAGTACAAACAAGTTCTTTGTATAATTTTATTTAATTCTTGCTAGTGGGACACTTCATAAATGTTTGTGAATTTGATGCACCGTTACCTGTGCGACTTAAGTATACCTTCATACGAAGTGACGATGATGATAAAAGACAAGGTTCGATTGGACTTGAACTTTACGTGACCAGCAACGAGATGACATCTATTATTTCACTGCCAAGACCCCGGGCGAAATCTGTCCCAGTTGGAAGAAATGGTTACAAAATGGCTTCTCGAGTGTTAAGATGACGTGAATTAAACTGAGACTTGTATATCAGATTTTTTACAAATAATCATCTGTTATTAACTATGTACAGCTGGTACAGTTATTCGTATGCCTCTGTTACGATCATTCGAACGCCTTCAGCAACAGATTCGGGGAATAAGTAATTACACGAAGAGGTGACATATAGTGTTAATAAATAAATGAAAAATCAACTGCTTCTGTTGGTTCATTCAATTTGTCCTTTCTTCTTGACTTCCCCTGTGTATTTTTCGCATTATCACTGGAAAACCTTTATACGAGGATGAAATATAGTTGTATTCATTTACAAGTTGAACAGTGCGGCTAAATAAAAAAAAATTAAAAACATGAATCGCATCGCTTGAAGCTCTTAGTCATTACCAAACGTCTTTGTTGATCTAAACAGTTTTAAGATCCCGGATAAGCCAATTGTCATTATCGGTTGCTGGCAACCCGCCGTACGCATTAGAACAACACAGAAAAGGATGCATCATACGCCAACGGACTGACTTCGTTCTTGTAGTCTTTATAAGACGCGATTATTTACATCTTAATTCTTGAAGTCCGCTATCCTTCCGATTTTTTTTTTTATTTTGTGTGTGTGGTGTCCCTTTACTTCACAGATTGGTGTCCTCGATCGTGACGTAAACGCCGTCACTGGTCCCTTTGTCCTTGCCCGAAGCCCCGCCCTCCTCCCCTTCCCCCTGTTCCCCTTTGTTCTGGCGAGCCAGGTAGGCCTCCATGTCGGAGAAGTGGACCTGGTAGATCTCCTTCATGCCGAACGGGACGAAACGCGAGTAGTTCCAGGCGCACAGGAACACGGAGACGACCAGCATGGCCAGAATGATGGCAAAGGAGAGCCGCGGACCGAAGGCCCCGTACATCTGCCCCATGTAGATGGGTCCCACGATGCGGGACAGCGAGCCGGCCGCAGTCAGGTATCCCATCATTTTACCCTGAAATCGGAGCCCAAACGGGGGAAAAAAAAAGAAATTAGAAAATAAAAGCCGCCTCATACAGAACCCCAGAGGTCGCTGTTTGTATGATCTGGTGCAGATACGCGATCCTATAACTATGTGTACTGATGTTCACTTTATTCCAGCATTCTAAATTTCTTTCAGAATTTACCATGAGGCCTGTGATCCGCTCATTTGACTCTGAAACTGTCAATTCATGAAAACAAAATGCTGCAAACGGCTTGCTGATTACAGTCACCTGAAATATACAGGTCTGAAAAGTTGGGGGGTAAACAGATCTTCTCCAAGAAAGTTGCCATGAACGTATGAACTGTGAGCCCATAAATGGCTGAAACTTTACACAGAGCAAAATCTGACCTGGTTTTTTAACCCAAGTACTTTGGAGTAGATGGTGGACGCCATGATGAAGCAGAAACCGTAGGATACGCCCATGGACAGCAGGAAGCCGATCAGATACTGCGAGATGTACAGCCTGGGCGACCAGCAGCACCACTCGTACAGCTCCCAGCAGACGCCGTAGGTCAGGTTGCTGCTTCCGGTGTCGACCGGGCCGCTGAAGATCCCCACGGCCTGGTTTCCCGCTCCCTGGGCCGGGAGGATCGCGGACAGTGCCCCTGCGGACTCGGAGACACCACAGATTTCCGGCCAGGGATTTATTCCTCCGAGGAACTGGTCGAATAAATCTAGAGCATTGTGAAAGATGACGTTACTATTGATATGCGTCGATTCTACTCCATATTATCGCCATTCTTGAAATCGACTAAACTGTTTGAATTTCATGCGGAAAAGTATCATTACTTTAAGTATACATAGACATTAAGATCTAAAATGATATCGATTCCTGTTTCAATAATTCTCTCACTAAACCTGGTGTTCTGGTAAAGAAATGTTGACGGTTTGAAACATCGTTGCAGTAAGCTAACCCTGCACCGGTTTTCTTGAGCTCCACATTCACCCCAAAGAGACATTAACTTCCTCAAACTTCTGAAATGACTCCAGCAGAATAGCCACGACGGTACCTTGATTCTCCGCTGCTGATATGTCCGAGAGGAACGTGTCTCCCCAAGGCAGCATGATAAACATGCCGACAGCGGCTATCACGAAACCCATCAGGAAGATGGCTCGCTCGCTCAAAAGTCTACACGTTTAAACAAGACGAACAGAATAAAAAGCATACTTCAGTAAACCAGGGATGGAGGACCGCATACCATAAGAGGCATATCTTTTTGGAAGGGTGGTTCACTTTTTGCGTGAATGAAGCGCACGTGAACGTTATTTTGTGACGTCGTGTCAAAATTTGTACTGCGACTACGCAAAAAGCGAACATATTTCCATTCCAGCGAATTTCGCTGAAAATGTTCCCTGCCACCAAAATCGTCCAGCCTGTACGTCACACTTGCATTACTCTAGTTTTTGTTGTTTCTCTCCGTATATGTGAATGAAAGAACATCACATGAAATGCTTTTTCATGCAAATTTGCACAGTGATTTGAAATGCTTCAACGTCAGACTGCCACATTTTAAATTCCGTTGCAACTCTTTGAAGCGAGCAACAAAAACCCAACCATGAATGATCGGCAACTCACTTGGCAACACTTTTTAAGGTTCATTAAACAAACTATGGCGACTTAATGAAGAAAAGACTTGATTGCCTATACATCCCAACCATGAAGGACAAAGTGCTTTTTATTCTGGCAAATTCGAACTCACTTTTTCAGAGGTTTGAGAAGCAAGACGACTATGATGAACTGGAAAGCGACGGATGCGAGTAGAAGTCCCTGATATAAGATGGCCTTGTCCTGAATCAGCCCGTACTCGTCCATCACGAGGGCAGTACCAACACTAAAAAAGGGGGTGGGTATCATCAGAAAATCATTTCCTTCTCATTCCAGTGCTCTGCATGCGCATCACTAACTTCAAGCTTGAACTGAGACTACTCTTACTTTGATACCACCAGGAACACCGCAGCATGATAGAATTGTACTTTTGAGAAAAGTTACTCAAGCAATGTGCATGTGTAAGGTTGGATATATGATGTTTGGTCACAGTTTTGCGATCTGAGATATCTTTATGAATTATATGTACCTTGGGTTGTGCTTAGTTCAGGCTATTGATATCTTAACAATCGGTTGACAAACTATAAACATGCTGAACCAGAAATGCCCGTTTAAGATTGTTAGGAGCAATGATTCGTTGACCTATAGAGCTGATTGTGACCTGGATTCCCACCCCTTGATTTTTTTTTGGGGGGGTGATAGTGCTTGTTGAGGTGTGGAACTCACGTATCAAGTGCAGAGAAGACAAATGACGTGACGCAGAAAAGGATATTGATGACGATGACAGCGACAATGTCTAGCTTAGCGTTATCTTCCTCATCGTCCAAGGACTGGCTCCAACCGCTCGTTGTACTGCTGCGTTTCTTGACTGTGGAGACGGAAGGTTGCAAGTGATTGTATAGTGAGAAAACTCACATTTTTTCAGTGTAATCGATTTTGGCGTGTGGAGCGTATTCCTGTCATATGTCAGCTAAAAGTGCAGTTGCCAACCGACACTTTCATTTATAACGAGCATTTCGTGTCCCAAGTGGCTGACAGCCGCACCACACACTCTCACAAACTTTCACCTTCCAGACTTTGCTGTAGCGCATCTTTGTAACAAGTTATGCGCTGCAGGTTTGTCTGGGAGATCATGATTACTCGTTGCGTGGATAACCTACCGTCTCCGTTGTTGTGGTTGCCATCTTCCGTGAGCCCGCGGACAGCCTTCTCTATCTTGTCGGCATCTTCCTTGCTGACCAGGTTTTCTCCCACTTTGGATTTCCTCCTGGACTCCTCCTGCTTGGCGCTGAGTCTGTCTGCCACCGGGGAATCCTGAGCAGGCAAATGCAATCCGCCAGTGAGTTGGATGACTATTTACATCTCTTGGGTATGAAGATGGTGGCAATAGAGATGGGCAGTAGTGACGATGACATGGATAACGACGGTGACGTATAGCCATTTGAGTTGTGATGCTGATAATTGCACTCGCTGTGACGATAGGCATTGGAAATTGCTACCATGGTAAAGCTAACCTTAATTTCGATGGTGGTGATCAGGATGACAGTGGAAGTGACAGTAGCAATTACATTGGCCACGATGGATGACACCAATCGAAGAAATAAAAGATAAAAGGATGAGGATAACAGTTGTCATGGTTACTGAGTCTGTCCATATCTGACATGGGAACTTGAGGCATAACAAGCGTCTAAGAATAAAACTTCGAATACCTTGAATTTGATGGCGAGAAGAGCGATGTTTCCAACCCCGATCACAGCACTGAACAGGACAGGTACGGAGTACATGTTGAGGAATGCCCATCCAGGATAGCCGATAGTTGCAAAGGCCGTCTGTAACACTGTTTCAATTCAGTAAAGGAAAGCTGTCAGTGTCAAACTCTAATATGCGAAGATGATCAAGATCTTTTGTCTTGGTCTTAAGTGCACAAACGGCAAAAAATGTGGTCGGTGTCGTTGTCACTGTTAAAGGCCATTTCCAGTAATCAGTATGTATTAGTTTTTGAAGAAGTATAAGGAATTTGTAATAGTACACGTTGCCGAAGCCTGGTTTCATATGTACGCTTGACATACGTGAAGTTCAACTCACGTGGCCCGGTGATATAGCCTATCGAGATGCAAGCGCTCATCAGCGCTACGGCGTCCGTGCGTTCACGGACGGTGGTGGCTGAGGCTACGTAGGTGCGGCCCAGTGCAACGTCACCTGTATAGATACGGGATATAAAAAGAGAAACTGCAGAAGAGACAGGAGTCTATGTTGAAAGCTGGCGCAAAATTTTGACAAAATGCCATCGATGCCATCGATGCTGCAACTCATCCAAAAGAATATCGATATACGTTCTCCCCATGTTCAAGAAAATGATAACTAGAGTGTTTCAGATATGAATTATCAACATGTTGTTATAATTTCAAAGTATTTGTATAATGACAGGTGATTTTTTTTCTATTTCATAATAGGTTCGTGTTGAGACATGGTTTTCAGTACACTGCAAAGTGTCACTATCCGAAGACATTCCGTCTTGGTATCCGCGTTGCATCTCATGACCACACTTTCTCACGACTCACCTGCGCCGAGACCAATGAAGAAGCGTCCGGCGAGGACCACCCAGCGGCCGTTGTTCGGCACGAAGTCGGCCGCGAAGTAGACCAGGTTGCCGATCAGCGTCAGCCCTGCCGAGTAGATCAGGGCCCGCTTGACCGACTTAAAGTAATCGGCCCACCAGCCGAAGAGCAGCGAGCCGAAGCACTGGGCTAGGCCGAAGGATGCCACGGTGAAGCCCAGGAAATTCGTGTTGCTTGCTGGATCAACCTGCAAAGTGGCCATTAATCATCTGTTGTTATGCGAAGAAAATGACCTAATAACATTATGTTGTGTTATCTGTGCGACCGATATTTGACTAGAGCTCGTCAATCCAGCATTCCCAGAATCTTTTATTAGGGCCTACTGTTTCAGGGCCATCATGATGTATTCGACGTACGTTTGATATTGGCTTCCTTTCGTATAATTACCCTTTGTTCTGATGTCAGTAATAACTTTATGAGGCATGAAATTCAAAATGATTTGAGGATTAAGAAACAGCCACCCCTTAATTTCCAATACCAATACTGTTTAAAGAGTAAATAGGGCTTCCTGGTCTGTGGAATAGTTAGAGAAACATATTACAAACTTCCTGTCAAACATTTTATAATATGACATTGGGATTATATTAGAATAATCCTAAATAGACGAACCGAATGTGTAGGCAACACATGTCGTACACTGAGAGAAGGTTTACAGGTACACCCTCTGGATTTGATCTCCTCTGGTCACCCTAAAGGGGAGACCACCTAAGGTCGACCAGAGCATCCTGGTCGAAAAGTCGAGTTTACACTCACCGGTTCTCAGAACCAGCACTCTTGTAAAAGACATCGAATCCACATGGGGTACCCG